CCAGTTAGGGCTGAGCTATTTTAACAGAGAGAACGTGAGCTCCACGAAGGTCTGAATACCTTTCCTCTCTGATTTTGTTCACTGATGGTTTCTTAGTCCCTAGACTACTGTTTGACCTACAGGAAACAGTAAGTATTGGCTAATTGCATGAATAAATGAAATGAGCTAGGTGATTAATGACAGCGAGGTGGTACTGGCACATCATTAGACAGATCAATGGAACCGAAAAGAAAGGACAGAAATAGAACTAAAACACATGGTAATTTAATTGATATAAAGCGCCACTTCAACTCACTAAGATGAAGATAACTGTGTGTTATTTCTCACTCCACAACTGGTCCTGGTACAACGGCTAACTGAGGAAAAAGAAAAGGTTGAGTCCCTGCTCAGGCCTAAACAAACCCCAAGAAGATCACAAGTTTTAAATGTTATAACTAAAATCATTTAAAAATACCAAATAAACCATGAATTAATTTTTCTATTTTCTCAGAGAGAAAAGCCTTTCTAAGTAAAGCACAAAAGCTATTAAAGAAAAAAATGACAAACCACATAAGAAATTTCTACAGAGATAAAAACCCACACACCATAAACAGGAAAGTAATGAACCCTTCGTGAGGGCTGCCTGCCGTAACAAGTAATACGTTTCATTCGATGCCTAAGAACATGGAACAGAGTGAAAGCCAAGAGGGATACAAATGGCTTTTAGAACAGGAAACACACTCAGCTCCCTGTCATTAGAGAAATGTAAGCGACATTTCACCTCCCCAAACACCTGATGACACTCCAGGTTCAAGAGGGTGTGATGGACATGATTTCACACCTGACAGTGGAAGGTGGGCTGATAAAAATCCCTATGGAGCGCTAGCCTGTGTTGTTCAGTGGTTAGAGCGCCGAAGAGTCATGGGTTTGATTCCTGGTGAAGGGCATGTACCTGATTTTGGGGGGAAGGAGGAGAAAATGGTGGCCAAATAGGCAGATCTTTCTTGCACCTTACCCCCAGGGCCAGATTGGAAATAAAACTAAAGTGGGGAACACATACCCAGAATTACCAACTGAGGTCCAGTCTCTTCAATAAATGGTGTCGGGAAAATTGGACAGGTGCATGCAAAAAAAATGAAACTAGACCACCAACTTATACCATACACAAGAATAAACTAAAAATGGATAAAAGACTTAAATGTAAGTCATGAAACCATAAAAATTTTAGAAGATACCGTAGTCAGCAAAATCTCAAACATCTCTCATGGCAATATACTCGCTAATACATCTCCTAGGGCAAAGGAAACTAAGGAGAAAATAAGCAAATGGGACTACAACAAAATAAAAGGCTTCTGCCAGCAAAAGAAACCAACAAAATGGCCCACTGTCTGGGAGAACATATGTGGCAACGATACATCTGATAAGAGGTTAATTTCCAAAATATATAAGGAACTCATACAACTTAACAAAAGGAAGACAAACAACCCAAATAAAAAAATGGGCAAAGGACCTAAGTAGACATTTCTCCAAAGTGGACATACAGATGGCCAAGAGACATATGAAAAAATGCTCAAAGTCACGAATCATCTGAGAGATGCAAATTAAAACAACAAGGAGGTATCTATCACCTCACACCTGTCAGAATGGCTACCAGCAACAAATGAAAAGTGTTGGAAAAGATGTGGAGAAAAGGGAACCCTAGTGCACTGCTGGTGGGAATGCAGACTGGTGCAGCCACTGTGGAAAACAGTATGGAGTTCCTTAAAAAAACTAACAGTGGAACTCCCATTTGACCCAGTGATCCCACTTCTAGGAATATATCCTTAGAAACCCGAAACACTATCAGAAAAAATGTATGCACCCCTATGTTCATAGCAGCACAATTAACAATAGCTAAGATTTGGAAACAGTCCAAGTGCCCATCAGCAGATGAGTGAATAAAGCAGCTGTGGCCCATTTATACCATGGAATACTACAAAGCAGTAAAAAAGAAGGAACTCTTACCATTTGCAACAGCATTAAGGGAATTGGAGAGTATTACACTCAGCGAAATAAGCCAGTCAGAGACAGATAAATATCACATATTCTCACTCATATGTGGACTCTAATGAACAAAACTGATCCAGAGACATAGAAGCATGGAACAGACTGACGAGTGTCAGAGGGAAAACAGGGTGGGGGTGAGTGGGAAGAAATTAACAGGGGAACTTACATGTGTACTAGAGGCCGGGTGCACAAATTCATGCACCAGTGGGGTCCCTCAATCTGGCCTGCAGGATGAGGGCAAAACCGGCTCTCCGACATCCCCCGAGGGGTCCTGGATTGCGAGAGGGTGCAGGCCAGGCTGAGGGACCCCACCAGTGCACCACTGGGGCCGGGGAGGGACTCGGGAGGTTGGCCAGCCAGGGAGGAACCGTGGGAGGGCTAGAGGGCGTGTCCGGCCTATCTTGCTCAGTCCCAATGGGCCGGACCCCAGAAGCAAGCTACCGGTCGACTGTCTGCCCCCTGGTGGTCAGTGCATGTCATAGCGAGTGGTTGAGTGGCCTTAGCATATCATTAGCATATTACGCTTTGATTGATTGAAAGGATGAACAGACACTTAGCATATTAGGCTTTTATTATATAGGATATGTACAGCCCATGGACACAGACAATAATGTGGTGAAGGCCTGGGAAGGATGGATGTGGGGTGGAGGGGAGTCAATGGGGAAAAAAACAAAGGAGACATCTGTAATACTTTCAACAATAAAGATAAATGGGGAAAAAAAGAGCATGTACCTGAGTTGCAGGTTCAATACTTGGCCCCGGGTCGTGGCCCATATGGCTCCCCCTCCCCCTCAATCTCTAAAAAAATTAATGGAAAAAAATAAACTCAGGTGAGAATTAACAACAACAAAATCCCCACAGAGGGACTTTGTGTGACACCCACAAATGCTTACACCTTTGACCCAGCTGTTCCACTTGGAGGCCTTCCCACAGTCTCACTCCCACATGTGAAGTTATGTAATTACCATGGCACGTCTGCAGCCACGTGACCATGGCCGTGCAGACCCTACACGCCATGGACTGCAACTGGGAAGGCAAGCCAAGCAGCCAGAGGCTGGCTGGCCTGGGCTAACATGGAGCAGATCCTCTGGGCAGCACCTGTCCTCTTGCCCTGCTGGAGATGAGATGGGGATGGAGGGAAATGTGACACTGGAAACCCAGGGGTTCAAGTCCATGAAAATAAAAATTCCTCCTCCTCCATGTGAGTCTCAGCAAATTCCTCTCCTTGCGACATCTCAAGAACTCCACTTCCTCCAACAACACACAGGGACACAGAGGGCACCCCACCGATAACATCACCATTCCGAGAAACAGAAGCCGGCTTGTTTACAGCCGCCCCGGGCACACAGCTGGCTGGAGCTGGAACCGGGAGCCACTGGCCCACACCTCATTCCATCCGGGCCCACATCTAGCTCCGACTGCCACTGTAGAGGCAGTGCCCGGGGCTGGGGCGGGCCGGTGAGGGTGAATGGCATCAAGCACGTCCCTGACCCCTGGAGCACATCAGCACGTAGCAGACGTACAGGGCGGCCGCCTGGGCAATGGCAGGAGCACAGGTGTGTGCCCTGAGCCCATGACAAATGTCGGGTGTCAGGGAGGCGCCTGAGGAGGGGGTGTCAGCTGAAGGCTCATAACTATGGGTTCAGTGGGCAAAGCCGGGCACAGCACTGCAGGCCCCGCGGCGGTGGGGGACCGCCCGGTGAGGTGAGGCAGGAAAAGGGCCCAGAATGCTGAGCGAGAGCCAGGGCTGGAGCCCCCCCAACCTCAGACCTTCTCCCTGGCTTGGGGCTGTGTGGGCATCTCAGAGGACCCGGGACCCCTCACGGGTGTGGTGGGGAGGGGTTGAGGGAAGTCTCTCTGGAGTGTGGAGAATGGATGGAGGACCCCTGACCCACCAAAAGCGGATGCCCGGTGCTGTCGGAACAAGGGCCTGGCCAGGTGCCTCTGCCCAAAATGGGGGTCAAGTGTCCTCTTTGGGGAGCGTCCAAGGCAGCGCTTGGCCGCTTCCCCTCCGGGCAGCCAGGGCCCAGTGAATAGGCCTCTGTGTCCCTCAATAGCTCTTTCAGACCCCGTGCCTCTCAGTGCCCTTTGCTGCTGAAGCCCCTCCCTCGGGCACAAAGACCAAGGAGCTGCCCGGGGCCAGGACTGTCCTGACGCAGCCTGGGCTGGGAAGCTGGGCCGATGGGCCCCACAGCAGCCGCACGGGCTGGCTGGGCCTCTGCGCCAGCCTAAGGGAGGCGAGGGGTTTCAATGATGCCAAGTGGCAGAACCAGGACCGGCTCACACCCCTGCCCGCGCCCTGCCTTCTTCAGTTCAAAGCCTGGCTCCTCTGCCAGGCACAGCACCCCAGGCCCTGCGGAGGGGGACCCCCGGGGAGGGGAGGACAGGAAAGGACCTCTCCAGACAGCCCCCTGAACTGAGGTGTGGCCCCCTGCTCCAGCCCCCCGCCTTCTTCCCTGACGGAGGCCCAGGCAACCTGCCTGTGAGAGTAGCTCAGCTGTCACCTCCCAGGACGAGAAGGGGAGGGTCCTTTCCCCACCGGCCGCCCCTTCCCCGAGCCCTGTGCCTCCTGTGCCCACGCACCTGACCCTCCCATTGCTGGGCGCCCACCTGCGCTGCTTTACCTGCTTTGATCTTCACCAAATCCCACGGGATAAAATTACTACCTCCGTTTAACTGAGGAAACTGAGCTCCAGGCTTGAGTCACTGTCTGATGTCACCCTGCTAGTAATGGCAGAGCCAGACAGCCCACACCTCAACCAAACCCTGCTCCACACCTGCGCTGCACAGGGCCTCGTCACTGGCTCCTAACCCCCGCTCAGCGCCTGGCCATGCAGGGTGACCTCAGGCCCCGCACAGAGCAAACATGTGACTGACGAAACTCGTTTCCAGCTCGCTCAGAGAATGATGGGGCAGCTTCGAATCTCACCCTAGAGCCCTCACCAGCAGTAACCTCATTCACGCTCCTTTCTTACCTGTGCACACTGTTGCAAAATTCTCAACGTGCTCTTTCAATCCTCATATCACGTCTGGGATCTCCCTAATGAGCCAGGTGACTCAGCAAGATGAGAATGGGAGCTGGGCCTGGAATCCAGGTCGGGTTCAACCGGCACCCGCTGTGTGTCAGGCCCTGTGTGAGGCCCTGGCGCCCAGTGAGGAAGAAGCCGGACCCTGACCTCAAGATGGCTTTCATGGGGTGGGGCTTCGGCCACAGCAGCCCTCGGCCTGCAGTTCCGACAGCAATCCTGCAGACTCTGCAAACAGCAATGCCTGCACCCTGCAGCCCGGCGGCATGTGACACCTGGCTCCCTGCCAGCCTCCGTCCTGCCTGAGCAGTCAGCAGCCAGTGTTCCCCGCTCCAGTCCCTCTCCTGGGAGCCCCTCATCGCCGTGGGCCTATTCAAACTCCTGACGCACTGCTTTGCTGACACGTACAAGGGCCTCCAAACTGCTATCCTGAGCTATCTCTCAGGCTTCCTTGGCCACCCACACAGGCGCCCCATCCCCGACAGGAGCTGTGACCCCCTCCCCTCCGCTCCCCAACTGCCTGGGGTCACCACCCAGTCCACATCCCACCTCCTCCCGCCTTCACCGCAATGGCGACGTGGCATGAGGCAGGTTGCAGAAGCCTGGAAGCCTCGGCCAGCGCTGCCAGACATGCTGCAACCAGCTCACTGTATGGGAGACACTAAACCCCGTCAGAGGGACTCGGGTGTGTGCGTTCTGCACGCCTCCTCACTGAGCCAGGCTTGGGCCCAGCCGGACCCACCCGCCCAGCTCGGAGGCCGCAGCAGGGCCTGTCTTGCTCACGGCTGTGCCTGGCACCCAGCTCCCGCAGGCTCTCCGGGCTCAGGCAGTTTACTAAGCACTCGATGTGCCAAGAGGCAAAGCTGACAACACGCTGCAGGGAACGAGGACTGCAGCGCAGCTGGTCAGACACCGAGGGACAACGGGCCCCTCAGTGGCCCTATCTCCGAAGTCACCTAGCATCCTCTCTGTGGAAACCAGACAACCTCCCCTTCTACACACACACCCACCCCCCCGACACACCCCCAAAGGCCGTCCTCTCATTTCCCCCAGATGAGGAACTGGGACCTCGGTTCCCTTGCTCAGTTCCTGCCCTCAGCTGTGCGGTGGCCTCAGAAACGCCCAGCCCTGCGCAGCCGGTTCTGACAAGTCCCCTCTTCTCTCACTTCTACAACCTCCTTCCCTGTGAACAGCCACACAGACAGAGGGCCCTCCTGGGAGAGATGGACAGGTGAGTGAGAACGGACAGGCAGCAGCCATGTGCGGGACACCTGGGTCCCAGACCTGCTCTGGGCCCTGAACTAAAGCCTCAATCTCTCATGAGTCTCATCGTCTTCCTCGGCCAGCAGGGATGTACCCTTGTCACAGGGTGGCCATGGGAAGGACACAATGCCAGGCGCACAATAACAGGAGGAGGTGGCACTCCGGCTCCAGCCTGCCCGGGAGAGAAGCGGCCTAGCTGGGCTCAGGGGTGGCGCCTGGTGCAGAGCCCCTGGCTGCAGATGGCTTCACTCTGCCCCTGGGGCAGCACGCAGCTCGCATGGTCTGGCTCTTCAGGTTTTGCTACAGGAGCAAGGATCCCAGGGGCTGAGCAACAGCTAATGAGCTGCTGGGGGTGGGGGACAGGAGGAATCTGGAATCCCTGGCCCCACCTTCCTGACAGGTGGCACAGTCTCCAGACCACCTGGGGTGGCACCAGGCACCACAGATAAACTGGGCATCGGGAGGACGGACCAGGGGACAGAGCTGGGGGGCTCGGCAGGTGTGAAACCTACAGCCCAGGCTGCTAAAGAAATCTTCCCAATGCACAAACCTTTGTACAAATAAAGAGGTTTGTTGCAAACCATTTATTACAGTGAAAAACTAAGCTAAGTTTCCCACAGAGCAGACCAATTCCGGAAATTATGGCACATCCACTCAACTATCTTGAAGTCATTTAACTAATGTGGAGAGTTAGAACAACATGAAAAATGTTTTAGGAATTCTAAGTAAGAAAGCATGGTTAAGGAACTCTATGTATAGAATATCAAGTATTCTTTAAAAAGCTTTATAAAAACTGGAAAGCAAGACTTTGCAAAGTTCATAACTAGTGTGCCTCTGGGTGATTGGAACTATGAGTAATTTTTTTCCATTTCTTATATTTTCCAATTTCTATTATGTGCATGTGACATTTTTTTTAATTGGAAAAAATTGAGGGGTTTTTCTTTTTCTGAAATATATTTTTATTGATTTTAGAGAGGGAGAGAGAGAGAGAGGGATAGAAACATCAATGATGAGAGAGAACCATTAACCGGCTGCCTCTTGCACATCCCCCACTGGGGACCAAACCCTCAACCCGGAATCGAACCCGGGACCCCTCAGTCCGCAGGCCAACCCCTCTATCTGCTGAGCCAAACTAGCGAGGGCGAAACTGGGAGGGGTTGAGGCTGTTTTTAACAAGTGGCTCACAGCTTGTCTGGTACTCACGAGCCCGTCCAGCGCAAGAAGCGAGTTTACGTGAGGACAGCAAAGGCTGCAAGCCAGGGGGACGTAACTTGTCCCAGGCCACAGAGCAAGCCTGGAGGCCAGCCTGGGGGAGGGGGATGCAGGGCGGTGCCAACACAGCTGATCACCCTCTCACCTTGCAGGGTGTCCCTGCAGCTGTGACCCTCGGTTTCTTTAAGGTGTGAGGTCCAACGTCCTCACGTTTCCCAGAGAGACCGCAGAGCTCCTGCTCCGGGAGAGACCACACTGGCAGAGGAGGCCGGAACCCACAGGCCTTAAAAATAGGCCCAGGAACCGAAAGAGGCACAGCTACGCATCCAAACGGTCCCACTTCCTCTCCGCCACTGGCCCAGAACCAGCTCTGCCTCCTCAGGGTCGGAGGGCCTGGGGCCCGAACTGTCCCCAGTGACTGCAGAGCAGCTGAGCAGTTCCAGGCGCGCGCACGTGTCTTGTAGCCTTTATGACCACAGCAGCGTTAGGGGCGACCTGTACCTGCCGGGTCTCATTTACTCCTCGCGCTGCCACGAGGCTGTGCCTGTCACTTCTACAACCCCATGACCCTCTAGGCTTCGCTGTGTCCACTTTACAGATGAGGACACAGAGGCCTTGACGGGTGACATGTTTGGGCCCCACAGACTTCCCTTCCAGCCACAGGTCCCATTCAAGTCCCCCACCCCGTCTCTTACACCCAGCGCCGCTGCCCCTGCAAAACAAGGGCCAGGCCGTCCCCATTCACAGGGTGGTGGCAGGTGCTCAGCACCCAGGAGAGGCTCATGGGGAGGCAGTTCCCCCTTCATTCCTTCTGGCTCATTCCATGAACTCTCTGAAAAATGGCTATTTGCATCTGACCAGCCTCAGTGGGAGCCTCATGGCCCCCAGCTCTGCCACCTCCCGGCTCCCTGGCCTTGGGTGTCACTTTCCTCCTGAAGCTTGGGTTCCTCATCCGCAAAATGGGTAAGAAGAGCAGCTGGGCACAGGGGGGCTGCCGCACGCAGAGCGGCGGGCACACGCAGGCGGGCAGCATCCTCTGTGCTCACCGCCCCTCTGGTACCGGCCACCCCACAAATCAAACACCCGACAAGCTCCTGAAGGTCCGACCAAGAAAATTCGAATTCTCAGTCGGGCATTCGGGGCCCCAAACCACGCTGCAAGCCGCATCAGCCTGTTCTCCTCCGTCCAGCCCGTCTGTCCTGCCTGGGTCCCTCTCAAAGGCCACACACTGCACATCCCCCTCCCCCAGCCTCCCTTCTCTGGGCCCCCAATAGGCACACCTGTGGGAAACCGCCTATTGTCTTCACTGGCAGAGAAGTGTAGACAGAGAACTGGGAAGGCTGGTGACCTTTGAAGCCCTCGCAAAGGTCAGAGCTGTGCACCACCTCTGTCAATCCAGACAATGGTAGCTGAAGCAACTTCCCCACCTTTACTCATGTAAATCCTTATTGATAAGATAGTCTGTGTGTTACCGGAACTTGTGTGCCTAAGGGCTATACTATGGGTGGATCCCAAACCAATAAAAGGTTGGTACGGCCTGAGCACCAGTGGAAGTCCTTCCCCTTGAGTTGGACTTACCCGCCTGGCCCCCCAATATTTCCAAATTATCTCGTCTCTTCTCTTTCATTTGCGTGCGGCTCCTTTTCCAGATCCTGAACCCTGAACCACGCGGGACGTGGAGGGAAACATTTACAACACACACCCTCATACCTCATCCTGGGCCCTTCCCCAATCCAGCCTATGCCAAGCAGCTGTGCACACCTGTATGGCCGGGCTGCCAGCGCCAGAGGACAGGTGTGGGGGGCCTCACCTCTGCTAAGAGCCTGGGCTCGGACAGATTCTGGCGTTACCAGCCATGGACCCAGGGACGCGTTACTTCACCTGTAACTGTTTCCTTATCAGCAAAAGGAGAAGAGTGCCCTATACGACCGGATAGGATTATCTTGAGGACAAAAGGAAATAGTGGACATATAACACGCCTTTCGCCCCACAGCCTTACAAACATAGATGCCCCAGGCTACCTAACAGCAGGTGACAGCCCAGAAATGCCCACCCCACGCAGGACCCAAAGACAACCAGTGTGATGGAGGCCCCACCCTCACACGCTCCGGTGGCCAGGCCATGGCCACATCATGACTGAGCATCAGTGTCCTGCTGCCCCTGTTGGAAGGGAGCCACTGCACAGCACGCCTGGACTGATGTCCAGGGCCCATGAGAAGGCCCAGGCCCCCAGGAGGGTCAGGTGACAGCCTCCTCTGGTCCAAATGTCTGCATCGCACATCTGGGCACTGGCCCCCTCATCTTCCCAGCTGAGATCCTGAAGGCCCACAGACGCGACCGCAGCCCGCCGGCGTGGCTCATCCGCTACCTGGAATGACAAGCAGCTTCCTGTGGACAAACACCGATCCTGCCAGGAGGACCACAGCTCTGGCTGCTTCCCGCAGGGCCTTGACTCCAGCACCGTCACCTGCGCGCCTGGCTTCTCCCCGCTCACTGTGCCTCCCGCCAGGCAGGGATCAGGGCCGTTCCGCTCCCACCCGGAGCAAGTACTCCAAACTGCGGTGCTGTTCGAGTCAGGTTTGGCTCTACAAGGTGCCTTTCATCATGACAGCCAGCTGCAGGGGGCGGTCCCTCCTCCGGCTCAGACACACACTGTGACTCAGAAATACAACAGCTTGTCCAGCGTCAGGTGTCTCCACCACAGCCTCCCGGACACTTTCAAAACAACCGCAGAGAACACAGCACAGTTCGGAATAACCTGCGCTTGAGTTCGACAACAGAAATCCGTGAGGTTTCCATTCATTCCTAAACGTAACAGGTTGCCACAGTTGTAGAGTGGAGACGAGAGGGTTTCCTGAGCCAATGGATGTACACGTGGCTCGGGGCCAGCGTTCCGGGGTCAGGCTAGGTGCTCGGGACAACCCCCGGTCCTCTCTCGACACTGGGCATGAGGTCATGACTAAGCTTGCCCCTTTCTGAACATCCCATTTCTCATCTGAAGAATGAGAGACGAGGAACACGAACCCTTCTACGAGGTTAGGGTTCCGTTCTCCTTGGCCATCCATACCCTTCGCTTCCCAGCCCAGAAATCAGTTCTCGCGTTCATTGGCTAAATATTTACTGGGTCCCTGCTCGGCACGGGCCTGTGCGGGACACAGAGACTCAGACTGGGCAGTGCCCGGCAGGGGTCCCTTGGTAACCAGGGAAAAGCCACAGAGCATTACGGCGCCACAATCATCCTGAGCGAACAGCGGACACATACCCAGTCTACGGGCACAGGCAGTGGCAGAAGGGCTCCCGGGGCATCGCTGGAGCTGAGGCTCGAGGGGAGACCTGTAGGTGTTTGCAGGGCAGGTGAGTAGGGGTGGCCTTGCGGGTGGAGAAAACGGCAGGCCTAAGGGTGCAGCGCATCAGAGCAGGGCTGAGTTCAGGCGAGCATGGGGCAGGGTGAGGGGTAAGACAGGGGTTCCTGTGAGGAGGGAGGACTGGAGGCCGGGGGAGGACAGAGTAATCGCATGACCAGCAGGCTCTGCCCTTGGCCTACGACCAGGGGACAGTTCTCACCAGGTGCAGCACAGTTGGTGCAGCAAGGCCTGGCTGGGGCATCGGGGGAGGGGGGTCAGGATCTGGGGTCAGACTGACTGAGGGTCAATCCCAGCTATGCCATAGCCTCACTGGTTGTCCCCAGGCAAGTCTCTTGCCTCTCTGAACCTCAGGTACCTCTTGGGTGTCCTGGAAAGAAGATTCCAGTAGCAAATTGACAGCACACAGGAGGCACCTGGCTCATGGTAAGGACTCCGCGAATGCCAGCTCCTGGAGCAAATTGTCACTGTTCTTAGGGGATGGCCCCCGGGCTCCTGGGGTGGGGACTAACAGCGGGAGGTGCTCAGGGGGTCAGAGGGCAGTGGGAGCATGTGGAGGGGGAGTGGGGAGGGGCTGCCCGGAGCTGCTGAGTGAAGGGCTGAAGGGCTAGAGCAGATGGTCCCTCAGACCCCTCCCATTTCAGACATTCTGTGCCAGATGACAGGTGGGCCTTCAGCCTAGCACACAGTAGGTGCTCAGTGAATGTCTGCTGAATGAATTAACGCGGATCCTTCCATTTCTGCTCAAAACTAAGTTGCGACACTTTTCAGAAAAGAAACCTATGTCCCCGTCGACCCCAGGGCGCCGGCGGGGACCTGCTCCCAGAGCAGTGTCTTAGGCTCAGCCTGCCTCCGACACAAAGGAGGACTGGCATTCATTTCCTCTCCTCACCCACCCTCCAGGGTGTGGCCTGCGGAGGGGCCTGGGCCCCCGGGGCTGCCATGTCCCTGCTGCCTGTGACTGTAAGGGGGCTGCGTGGGCTCCGTGGGACTCAGTTTCCCCAGGGGTGAATGAAGGGCATGCTGGCGAAAGCTCCCGGGCTGGCATGCCTTCTCCACGCTGCTGTCGCCTCCTCAGAAATCCCCAGCCCAGACGCCGGACGAGGGTGGGGTGGGGGCGGCAGACAACGTGCTATGAAGTCATTCCCGCATGGAGAAGGGAGGGGTCTTTCCGCAGAAAATGGCAAACCCCACACCACGGGGGGTGCTCCTCCGGGTCCATCGGCACCGATGACCTCACACCCGCCAAGCCCAAGACCCCACACCTGCAGTCAGTCCCAGGCTCTTTCCAACAACACGGGGCACCCCCCACCGCCCCCTCCCGGCACGTCCGTGACCTGGGCCCTCCT